ATATATATATATATATATATTTTTTCCTTTTTGTCTTTTTTCGTGACCGGCAACGGATCGCAACCCTCAGTGTCACGCCCGCACCGGCCCGGGACCGGCAACGGGATCGCAACCCTCGGTGTTGCGCCCGCACCTCGCTCAGCCAGTGAGTGGCTGGTCTGTATGTGGAATCCGAACCCTCGGCGGGAGCGCTGCCGTGCTCCCAAGTGGTGCACTGTAGCAGTGTGCCACCAGGCCGGCCCTCAAAGCTAATATATTTTTAATCCGTGTTTTTGAATATTTGTATTTTCCTCCTCATTTTGCTTTATTACATGATTCCTAAGATATTATTCTTATCTAGATTGCTTTACTTTTATTTTAAGCAGCTCAAATGCTTTTTTAGAAGTAAATGGCTATTAATAATTTTCTCTTTGCTAATGTGCATATATTGCATGTATACATACATACATATTTGTGTGTGCATATATATATATATATTTTTTTTCTAAGAACATTTTCTCAATCTCTCCCGTTTAAGTTACAGTGCTATTCCTGCTACCTCGTTATTGTGAATCTTCTGCCATTTCATTTTTCATTTTAAGGGGCAGCTTATGGGAGATGTGAAGCTACTTAAGGAGGTTCACGTGACACCTGGCGATGGTTCAATCTCAGATTCATAAAAGACCTGGGCGTTAGTATACATGAGATCTTTCATTTGTCCCAAAGTTACCAAGGCCTGGTCGAATAAAATGACTCATGACCAAGACCAGACTAAGAAAGTAGTCTGCCCACCTGTTGTTTCAAATGAGAGCAAGATTGAAAGACCTTAAACAATAACAAGGAATGAGGATCAGAAAACCAAGAAATAAACTTACGAATTTTGTCTAAAAAAGAACATTGGTGTTGTCAAATAAAAACAAATCCAAAATAGTTAAGCAGAGACTTTATTCGAAAAGACTGTTGCAATCGGGAGAACACTCCAACCAGGTTATCTGCAAGGGTCAGGCAGAAAGTACTTTTCTTTTCTTGGGAGGAGTGAACAAGGCTGAAAGGGAGCTGTGTGGGGGAGCAGGGGGTGTGACGGGACAGTCGAGAGGGAGAGGATTTTCTCTATAGGCAGCCGGCTCTCAGGGCTCTCAGGCAGAGCTGTTAAGAAGAGTTATTTGGTATTTCAGTGCTTGCTTAAGTTTAGGGCAAGATGAAATTCAGGGGCCTGGAGGAAGAAGAGAAGCTGACTGGAGTTTATTCGAGTCAGGTTAGCTGGCTTTGGTTCAGCTTGGTCACTGAAGACAGTGAGGCGAATCATCTGTGAGGTGACAGTATGAATTTAGAAGGTCCATGTCTGGCCCTGTCACAGGTACTCAAGGAGGCCGTCCATGAGTCTTCTCTATGTCATATGGAGAAGGGTGGTTCTTTGCCTTAAGGTATTTCTGGGAACAAGAAAATGTGGGGGGTTTCCTAACCATCACTTTAATTCAGGAGAATAGAGCTCAGATAAAGGTCAACATTGCCAGGGGCTGCTGGAACATGGAATTCTCTATGAGAGATGAATCAGAATTCTGCTAAATCATGGGAGAAATTGTATTGCCAAAAAAGGAATGAGTCCAACCTTTTCAAAAATTGCTTTGACTGTTCCAGCTTTAAAACAACTCTTGACACTCCCACGAATACGTGAGTAAGGAAAAACCCGCAGAAGTCGTACAGTCTTCAGGTTGTACATGTATCCTAATTTCCACTTCAAATATGATGAGGGAGGATAATGGAACACAAAGAACCTCAGATGGTTCTGCACCTGTGGTCATGGAGGAAAATCAACAAGGGGCAGCTCCAAGTACCCTGGAGTATGTAAGGAACTTCCTTACAGCTGGGGACCTGCACGGTTGCTGTGGCTGAAATCTTCCCATTTAAAGAAGGCTTTCCTTGTGAGTATCCTGCACCTGCTCCATTCTTGTTTAATGATAAATCTATGGAGAGCTGCAGATAGCTTGTTCTCTTAGATTTGGGGCAGCTGGACCTTGAGAAGCCATGTTTGAACATGTTGGTAAGGACCGTGCAACTCCTGAAGATCCTGGACTTCAAAGTGATGGAAGGACTGGAGTGGATGTTGGGCTGCCTTCTGGGAGAAAAGGGGAGTGTGTTCTGTGTTTGAGGGAAAAGGCAGGGATAGTTGAGGGCCAGAGAAGACAGCTATGGGGAAGATGACTAGCTCTTCACCATGGACTCCTGCTTCTCTTCCATTGAGTTTGGTTGTTGCATGAAAGTGCCTTCTCAGCAGGAGTCTCTTGCTCCCAGGACCCTCTTTGCATAGCTAGTCTCGTACAACTAGCTCTGACCAATGGAAAATGAGTGCGTGTGTAGGCCGGACCGATGCAAACCTCCTGCACATAATCCTGTCTCTCCCCTCATCTGCTGACTGAATACCCACGCCTGACATGTCCTGGACAGCTTCTTGTTGAAAATGGAGGGGAAGGGGCTAGTATTTATCCAGAATATAATATATGTCAGTAGTTGAGTCAGATGCTTTAGTGACATCTTTAAGTATCACCAAAACTTATACAGATGAGAAAATCTAGGCTCAGAGAAGTTAATAACTTCTTCAGGATCAACATATTACTACAAAGTGGAGTCAATTTTCAATCCCACGCACATTAGATTCTTTTAACTCTACCGTAAAGCTTCCAGCTGAAATTTTTCCAGCTATCACATAAAGCATTTCTTCTGCATCATCATCATTGTTTTTGTTGTCATTATCATCCTCCTTATCATCAGTAGCAATAACAGTATTATGATTATCATCACTGTCATTATCATCCCTCTTAACATTTATGATGCACGTCCTGTGTAATCAGAACTGGATGAGGTGCTCACAACGCACAATCTCTAACCCCCGCTTTCAAGCTCCTTTTTACCCCACTTGTTATTTCCTAGACCAGAGGCTTGGCTTACATTAGCTTCAGCCTTTACAACAGCCTGTGAGGGAAGTAGTTATTATTCCTATTTTATTGAAGCAGAAACTCAAGTTTGGAGAGACTAAGAAACCAGAATTCACACAGATCACACGCAGCAAAGATAGTGCTCCACCATTCAGTGTGTGCAATACATCAAGTTTTTTCAGAAATCTTTCTCATACATTGACTTATTTGATCCCCACAGTAATTCTTTTTATTTGTTTGTTTGTTTTTGTTTGTTTAATGTATTATGAATATTCATGAGATACAAAGGGAATTGTCACCCCTTGTGCCCATGATGTGAGGGCCAGCTTCATACTGGCAGCATGCCCATTACCAGAAATTGAATTTGTACTCCGTCTCCCCCACCCAATTATCCCTAACCTCGCTCTCTCTCCCCCTTTATCCCCTACTCCACTTTGTAGCCCAAGGAATGTTCTCTCCCTCTGGCAAGACCAACGCACTACTGTGGTCTTTCTTTCCTTCCTTCTTTCTCTCTTAGCTCCCCTATATGAGTGAGTACATGAGGTATTTATCCCTCTGTGCTTTGCTTATTTCACTCAGCATAAGTTTCTCCAGGTTCATCCATATTGTTGCATATGATAGTATTTCACTCTTTTTTATGGCAGAGTAGTATTCCCTGTTGTATATATACCACAGTTTCCTTATCCAATCATCTATTAATGGACATTTAGGTTGGTTCCATATCTTGGCTATTACAAACAGAGCTGCAATGAACATGGGAGCGCAGGTGTCCCTTCAAATGGTGATTTCCATTCCTCTGAGTATATACCCTGAAGAGGGATTGCTGGATCATATGGAAGATCTATCTGTAGTTGTTTGAGAAACCTCTGTACTGTTTTCCATAGTGGTTGTGCTAATTTACAGTCCCTCCAACAGTGTAGGAGTGTTCCCTTCTCTCCATATCCTCACCAGCATTTGTTATTCACCATCTTTTTTATTTTAGCCAGTTTAGCTGGGGTGAGGTGGTATCTCAATGTAGTTTAAATTTGCATTTCCCTGATGACTAGTGATGTTGAGCATTTTTTCATGTACCTCTTGGCCATTTGTATGTCTTCCTTTGAAAAATGTCTATTCAGCTCCTTTTCCCATTTTTTAATTGGGTCATTAATTTTTTTACTGTATAATTGCTTGAGTTCTATTTATACTCTGGATATTAGTCCCTTGTCAGATGCATAGTTGGCAAAAATTTTCTCCCACTCTGTAGGTTGCCTTGTTGATTGTTTCTTTTGCTGTGCAGAAACTTTTTAGTTTGATATAGTCCCATTTGTTTATTTTTTCTTTTGCTGCTTGTGGTTTTGGGTTCATGTTCATAAAGCCTGTGCCCTGACCTAACTGCTGAAGTGTTTCACTTATATTTTCCCTTAGTATTTTAACAGTTTCAGTTCTTATACTTAAGTTTTTTATCCATTTCCAGTTGATTTTAGTGTATGGCAAGAGGTGCATGTCTAGTTTCATTCTTCTCCATATGGATATCCAGTTTTCCCAGCACAACTTGCTGAAGAGGCAGTCCTTTCCCCCCATGTAGATTTTTGTTGCCTTTGTCCAATATCAGATGGCCATAAGCCTGAAGGGTGATTTCTGGGTTCTCAATTCTACTCCACTGGTCTGAATGTCTATTTTTATACCAGTAACATGCTGTTTTTGTTACAATAGCTTTGCAGTATTTTTTGAAGTCATGTAATGTTATGCCTCTAGCTTTATTTTTTGCTCAGGATTGCTTTGGCTATTCGGTGTCTTTGGTTTTTCCAATGAAAGGTAAGATTGTTTTTTTCCACTTCTGTGAAGAATGTCATTCGTATTTTGATGGGGATTTCATTGACTCTGTAGATCGCTTTGGGTAGTATAGACATTTTCACAATGTTAATTCTTCCAATCCAAGAACATGGAATATATTTCCATTTTTTTGTGTCTTCTTTAATTTCTTTCAAAAGTAATTTGTAGTTCTCATTGTAGAGGTCTTTCACCTCCTTGGTTAAATTGATCCCTACTTATCTTATTTTTTTCATGACAATTATAAATGGGCTTACTTTCTTTATTTCTCCTGTTAATTTATTATTTGAGTATATAAATACTGCTGATTTGGGGCATTTATTTTGTATCCTGCAACATTACTGAAGTTACTAACCAGCTCTAGGAATTTTCTGAAAGAGTCTTTAGGTTTTTCTATATATAGTATCATGTCATCTGCAAATAGAGAAAATTAGACTTCATCTTTTCCAATCTGGATTCCCTTTATTTCTTCTCTTGCCTGATTGCTCTGGCTAGTACCTCCAGCACTATACTAAATAGAAGTGGTGAGAGTGGGCATCCTTGTCTTGTTCCTCTTCTTAAGGGAAAGGCCTTCAGCTTTTCCCCATTCAAAATGATACTGGTAGTGAGCTCGTCATAAATGGCTTTTATTGTGTTGTGATATTTTCCTTCTATACCTAATTTGTTGAGAGTCTTTATCATGAAGGGATGTTGAATTTTGTCAAATGTTTTTTCATCAGCTATTGAGATAATCATGTGTCCTTGAGTTTGTTGCAGTGATGTATCACATTTATTGCCTTCCTATGTTGAACCATCCTTGCATCATTGGGATGAATCCCATTTGATCAGTGCATATTTTTTTTTAATATGTTGCTGTGTTCTTATTGCTAAAATTTTGTTGAGGATTTTAGCATCTAGGTTATTCAAGGATATCGGCCTATAATTTTCTTTTTTGTTGT